GCCTATATAAAGAACTTTGAACAGTACTTAGGATGTAATACGTGTTGTATGTACAAGTGTTTGCTGTCGTTCTTTATTTATTTGAAGTTTTTATTTGTGTGTTTCATTTTTATTTTGATTGTAGTGATAGCTTTAGAGTTTTGTTTTCTCTTTCTCTTCTACCTGTGGGCCATAATTTGACACAAATTATGGCATTTATGGTACTTGAATTCAGTACTTTAAAGTAGTGTTTTACATTTTTGCTATCATTAAATAAAGAAAGTTATTCCTTTGTTTTAGCATTATTTTGCCCTTTCAAAGAAATATTTTAGTTGATATGATGGTGTGGTTAAGAAAAAATGGATTTTTTTTCAGCATTCATTAAAATTTTAAGCAATGGAAAATATTTGTATATACTTGGCAACCAGAGTAATGAAAGTTGGATTGATGAGTTTAATATTGTTTAAATTTAAATATTAGGTCTGAGGCCAGAAGGAAAGACTCTGCTGATTACGAATATTGACATGGAGCCGTGCACAGTAGACCCCCAGCTAAGGATTATTCTTCAATGGCTTGTTGCCTCTGAGGCTGAAGTTGCAGAACTTCATTTTCATGACTCTGCAAAGAAGGAGTTTATACTAGTAAGTACCTACTGTAGAGAGTGGTTGTGAGGATACACGTAATAGTTCTTGTTCTATAATGTTCTTGTCATATGGTTGGTCTAATAAGATGCCTCTGGACGGCTGAGTGGTTAAATGCTTAGGCTCTAGAGTCTAACAGTTTGGGTTCATTTGTCAGCTCTGCCACTCTAGCAGTGTAACCTGGGGCAAGTTAACCAGTCTGTCTCAGTTCTCCTAGCTGCATTATGGAAATGAATATAGAATCTGCCTTATAGGCATTTGTGAGGATTAAATATAAGACTAGAAAAAGAAAAAAAGCTTAGTCTGGTGCCTGGCATGCACTAAGTTCTCAAAGGTAGGTACTGTCATTAATGAGCATTGCTTGTGTTCCTATGAGAAGATTGTTATTCTCTGTATTTAATTGATTTATAATTGTACCTAATAATTAATATGTCTTTTTCTCTGGTAATCCAGTTTCATTCATATGAGAAGCTGGCATAATCAAAAGCCAATAAAAGTTTAAATAACGTGCTTTTGTTGAGTGCTTACTATGTGCCAAGCACATTATTAGTGAAGATTTTCAGTTTACAGTCTTAAAGTTTTTGTCCCATAATTTTCCTTATCAGACCTTTGGTTTAATTTTATCATAGGGTATAGAATAGTTCAGTGAATAACCAGTATGATTGATCGATGATAACAAAAAAGGAACAATAAAGTTACTCTTATTTTCTGGTTCAGAATTTATGAAGCTATTTTTGAAAAACACATAATATAAAAATTTTTTGTTTTGTATTTTGTCATTTATTTTTACTTAGACTTTTTGGATGTTTCCAGTTGAATTTCTTTTTTGGGCAGAAATCAAAAATAGGATAGAAAGGAATATTTGGGAAATGAACTGCCAAGGGGAAAGAATGGGTAGGGGAAATGTTAGAACCGACTTTAGGGAGTCATTTAGTTTGGATAAACGGAGAGTGAAGGAAGGGCTTAGTGGAGCTGAGAGAGATGATGCCTGGGTACAGGACCTCTTCCCCGTGTAACCGAGCCCAGGGGACCTTTGCCTGGTGGTGGAGTGAAGTGGGATGCTTAAACGTGGATGGCAGTGCCTGATTATGCCTATGGCTTATTCTGAATAATGACCCTCATTGACCATGTCTGGCTAAAACCCCACAGGGCTGCTAGGAAGCTACGAATTTAAGAGGCCAAGTACAGAATATTTTTAGTGATAATGATGATAATAGAAATACTTTATTTTGTATCTTTCTAGATAATTTACTGTTAATTCTGATATCTTTACTATTAACTAGAATAAGCACTGTTACCATAAGCATAACTAGAAGGTGAGAGATAATTATATAATCGATAACATATTTTAATACTTTCTTGTGCCTACACAAGAAAAAAATGAAAAAAGAAAAAATAGATACAAATTCAGAACTTCTGTGCTTCAAAGGATACTATCAAGAAAGTGAAATGACAACCCACAGAATGGGAGTATTTGCAAATTGTATCTAATAACAGATGTACATATACATTCTTGTACCTGGAATATATAAAGAACTCTTACAGCTCAATAATAAAAATATAAATAATCCAATTAAAAATAGACAAAGAATCTGAATAGTTGTTTCTCCAAAGAAGATATACAAATGGCAAATAAGTACATGGAAAGATGCTCAACATCATTAGCAATTAGGAAAATGCAAATCAAAACCACTGTGAGATACCACTTCATGCCCACTAGGATGACGATAATCAGAAAAATGGATAACAAGTGTTGGCAAGGATGCAGAGAAATTGGATCCTTCACATATTGCTAGTGAGAATGTAAAGTGGCACAACTACATTGGAAAACATTCTGAAAGTTAGCTCAACATGTCCACTCTGAGGTATATACTTAAGAGAGATGAAAACATATGTCCATATTTGTGCACAAATGTCCATGACAACATTATTCATAATGGTACTAAGTAGAAACAGCCCTAGATGTTCATCAACTGATGGGAATGGAGAAGTAAAACGTAGTGTATCTGTCAGTAAAAAGTAATGAGATACTGATACCTGCTGCACCATGGAGCAACCTTGAAATAATCATGTTGAGTGAGAGAAGCCAGTTACAAAAGACCACACACTTGTTTTATGATTCCATTTCCACGAAATAGGCAAATCTATAGAGACCAAAGGTAGATTAAGTGGTAGCCTAGAGTTGAGGAGATTGTGGAGAATGGGGAGTGATTTCTAATGGGGTGGGCTTTCCTTTTGGTGTGATGAAATTATTCTAATATTGATTGTGATGATAGTTGCATTCAACTCGGGGAATATGCTAAAAACCATTAACTAGTGCACTTTCCATGAATTGTATGATATGTGAATTATATCTCAATAAAGCTGTTTAAAAAAAGGTTAAGCATATTTATATTACAAAACATTAAGGTGATTTTTCAGAATTTCACTTACCAATCTTTCAAAACTTAAGAAATTTTGTAGAACTTAATAGAAAAAAAAATGAGCAAGGCATGTTCTGATTGATGACAATAGAGTTCATTTAAACCTGTATTTATTTACTTTTTTGGTATTTTTGTTGAAACACTAACATTTCTTAACTTTTTGAAAGCCATGTTTCCGTTGAGGCTGGAGTGTGTATTCCAGAAAAATACCACACTGTATGTTGTGGAAGGAAAATCCACCTCCTTTTATTAAGCTTGATGTTGTCTTTATTATTTTATGTTCCTAATTGAGGGTGTGTCAGATGTATTTAGTTAGGTGCAGAATTTCCTGTAGAAATTTAGCCTCTGCACTCCCACACAGACCGTCCGCTTGGTGAGGTTTGTGGAGTTCTGTCTCCAGCAATCCCAAAATGTCATTCTGTGGAGGAGATATATTTGTAAAGGGCAGGAAAGGAAAATGTTTAATTTGGGTAAAGGGGTGGTGGTTTAGGGGAGAGGACCTTGTTACAGCTAGGAAACGACAATTAATTGTAAACAACAGGATTCTTAGTTTTATCTGATGTTAAAAATAAAAGTGAAAACGCAATTGTTATAAATTGTTTTTAGCTAATGTTTGATATATTTTTCTTTTTTAGCTTTCAAAACGATTACAAGAAAAAGGGTGGAAAGTGGGAGACCTTCTGCAAGCTGTGCTTCAGTACTACGAAGTGATGGAAAAAACTGCCGGCGAGGAGAGATGCAAGTCACTGTTTGATTGGCTCTTGGAAAATGCATAGAACAAACCCCAAACCAGTGTGTTATAGTATTTGTTTTGGGAGGGGAAGAAACAGATAAAGATGCTTAGGATAAAATTTGAATAGTGATTATTAACATTTTAAGAGAATTGGGAGGAAAGTAAATAGAGCTTTTTAAGTGCTTTGTGTCATCACACAGTGTATATAGTTCATACTTTTGTAATATTATCTTTATGTA